AAAAAGACAAAAGGTTTTCTATGGATCTTAAAGGTGTGCCTCATAACCCTTCCCTGTTAAATAATACAGCATCTAAGAATGTAATGGGTATTATTCTGTAAAGCCTAACGGTAGACAAAGAGTACAGTCTTAAAGAGACATGTGGGTATAGTTTTTCTAATGGAATGGATATAACACAATATTAAAAAGTCAACAGATATTTACATAATTATACTTGTTTGGACTTAGAGAAGCAGAGCCAATACAAAAGAAAAAAAAGGCCTTTGGACCCTCAACTTTTTACTGACAGGAGCAAGATGAGAAGGCTCTCCAGTGGCAGACGCAAATCACTTTTTAAATGGCAAAGAAAAGACAGCAGGTAACACCAGAGCCCAATGGGGCCAAGTGCTGGAAAGAATAACTCATTGGGAACAGCACTAAACATAATTAAGGAATTGTCAACATGCACCAGTTGGATTTTAGAATTGCTATGGGGCCAGAGGCTGCCGTATCCTCCCATTTTCTCCATTCTCGGATAGAAGGTCTGTTATATAACAGTCACAGTCCTGTCTCACTGTGGTCTGTTGGTGGGAAGGGAGGATAGATACCACGCCTCGTTAGTAAGCAGACCTTCAGCATGAGAGAGACTGTGCCCAAGATGCCAAGCCCAAGTGTCTCATCTGTACCTCGACCTAAGCGAAATGGTGACGTCCTGGCCCTCAAGCTTCAGCCTGATGCTATAATGGAATAAGGCCTACTGGAAAGTATATTTTGTTTGTGAGATTAATGTAAATAATTTGTGACCAGACTGCAGACCGCATTGATTTCAAAACAAGTCCACAAATTCTTGGACATTCCTCATCAAGAGGTGGAATCCATGCCCTCCTCTAGCAAATCAGGACTGTCCTAGTGACTCACCTATAACCGTTAGAATGCAGCAGACTTCTGAGGATGAATCAAAAAAGTCATACAGCTTCCACCTAGTTCTTCGGGACACTCATCCTTGGAACTACCATGTAAGAAACCCAACCATCATGAGGCTACTCTGCTGTGAGCAAGTCCAAGCCACTTGGAAAGGCCACATGTAGCTGCTCTCGCCAGCAACCCAGCTGACATGCCAGAATACTGACATGCCAGAACACTGACGGAACAATCAGCAGACATGTTAGTGAAGACGGAGCAGATGATTCTGGCCTCCAGTCGTCGTCAACTCCACTCATCTAATCTCCCCAGCCGAGGCCCCTGACATCACTGAACAGTGACAGCGGCCCCTCTGTGGCCTTGCAAATTCCTGACCCACTGAAACTTTGAGCATTATCAGATGGTTGTTTTATGCCACTGAATTGTGGAGTGGTCATGACAGTAACCACAACAATATTGTAAAGGGAAAATTTATACTTAAAATGTTTAAACAAGAAAACAAGGATAAAGAGAAGTAATTAACCAAGGTCACAGAGAAGCAAAGCAAAAATTCTAAAACAGGTCTATCTGATTCTAAAATCTGTGTCTGTAACTATAATGCTACACTATCTCCCATAGATATCCCTCTTGGTCTTTCCTATTGATATTTCCCAGCGGAGGACTATATGCACACATCACCTGCTTCTCTAAGACCAAACGACCACTCAGAGCCATATTAAACCCCACCTCTTTCATAAAGACTCCAACCCTCAGCAATTTCTCCCTCTCCCAATCCTCTCTAAACTCTTCCAACTCATTTTCTATGACTTTTACTTGACAACTAGTGAATGCTGGTATTACTCATTTACAGTTAGTGAATCCATCCCTTTTCTGGTGCACATTCCTTGGCTATACTCTTGAATTATGTCCCCAGACAAAGGCTGAAAATCCACATGCCTACAGAATGAAGCAGGTAATATATGACAGTAAAGTGGACTGGGAGCAAAAGAACAAAGTGGTCTGGATTTGGTCACACTGGGAAGCAAATGCTCCAGGTAAATGGTCCAGCTACCACCTAGATCCAGCACACTGAGCTTCTTCACAGTATATATAACTTTATTTGGTTATTGTCGCTCTCTCCTCATTAGAATGTAAGTTTCCTGAGAGCAGAGAGTTTGTCTACTTTCTTTGCTGCTAGATCACCAGAGCCTAAAACAATACCTGACATTCAGTCAACAAATAACTGTTGAATGAGTAAACAAATATTGCCAAGTTGGAATGTGGGCTCAGTGTCACAGAATCTTCCAATTTTTTCAAGAGATGCCAGAAAAAAATAATTTTATGTGCAATCTCCCAATTTCTAAATGTTGACAACTAATTAGAAAAGTGTTGTGGCATTTTGGGGTTGTGTAAACAAATGATGTCTGCAGGCTTGGACTCCATCTGCGAGCTGTACATGCAGTCACTACACTAGAGGGATGTTAGCTTTTTTTACCATCTAATTACTTAGAACAGTGCCTAGTAAAGTGTAGATAACTGGATAAGCAAATAACAAAGCTTCAAGTATATATACTTGAGGCACTGCTATGATTCAGCTGTGTATCTTCACAGATGCTGCTCAAGTGACTTTCTCATATCCCCAAGGAAACAGTTTCAACTTCTGATCCATAATGACCACATGGACTTCACATGACCATCCCATTCCCACAATTCTTAGGTGTAACTTCCTCCCCTCCCAGCTACAAAGAGTTCAGAAATGTGATTGCCATGTGCTCCCAGTTATTACTGGGGAAGAGAAAAGGCAGTGAAAAGAACATAGATTGGGTTTCCAAGGGGCAACAGAAAAAGAGAACCAGGTATGTTTTTTATTTTCTTTTACACTCCCACAGTTGACAAATAAGTGCTCCTGATGGCAATTTTGTTTTCTTTTGCACTATTCTTAGTATCTTTAGATTAGATAATCTAAAATTTTATTTCAGTTGACCTTTTGATGTTCTCTAGTAGCATGTTTTATCTTTTTTTACATAAAAATTATTAAGGAGGAATTTTTAAATATTTACTAATTACTTGAATTCTTATTTCTAATAAAAGTCATATCTAAATAATTAGAGTGAATCTAGTTTTAAAATATGGGTCACTTAGCAACAAGCATAATTGCATAGGAGCGCAGAATACTTTTAAGATCCTTTAAAGAAAATATATTTGGAAAAAAACATTGGCAGTGCACCTGAAGATACTAGCTGACTCGCAGCAAGTTAATCATTAAGTTCTGCAGCTGTGAAAGGAAGTGAGCTGTCTTAGTGTCCCTTTTTCTGGTTATAGTCCAAGGCACAGAGCCTTGAAGTATCCATCGGAGATATCAACAAACATCAGAAGAAAGCAACATATCAAATGAGTATAGGTCCAAAAAAGTCAAAAATATCACCTAGCCCTGTATAGCCAGCATTTAGGACATTATTTTAATGATTATGTATATTAATTCACTATACAGAGTTCCTCAATAATGGAATTAATTTTGTAGGCAGGAAGATCTTATTTTTTAAATAGGCTCCATAGTGTTTGAAATTGAAAGTAAGAGGGATAAAAATGTACTTAGCCGAACCTGTATTTCAAAATTTAGGTTGTTCTAGACCTATGAGCTTCCTACAGAATAAGAATACAGATTTCTATTCACTGCTTTTGTTATGTTTGAACAACAGTGAATACAATGGCCAGTGGATGGGGAGGATCATTACCCAAATTCTCTTATACACACACAGGTGGAATGGTGAAGCAGAGCTCCAAGAGCACAGGGGCGGGGGGAATGCCCAGAATTTGGAAACAGACCAACAGAAGTTTCTTTTGCAGCTCTACCACATGCTTATTCTTTGATCTTGAGAAATGTATGTAATCTCTTTAAATCTCAGTTTGCTTTATTCATTTGGAAAAATGGAATCATAATGCCTTGCATTAGGGTTGACAAAGTGGCTAATTTATTGTGTAAAATTTTATGGCTTATTTATTGTGTAAGCCATTGAAATGAGGAAGAAGTTGGTAACTCATCATGGCCTGACCTAGCCTGACAAATGCCATACAATACCATACAAAAGTGCTTGGAACACCATGGTATCACAGATGGTAGCTGTCATAGAGAGTCCAGTTGATTCTTATTATAAATTTAATACAGACAGTATTCTCTAGGCTTTCTACACATATCACCCTTCCCTAAGAACGTATTTCTATACAATTGGGTGTTACAGGCTATAAGAAGTTTACAGAAATTCTAAAACTTTGGTAGAAGAACTTATGTACAAAACTGTTCACTGGCCACTGCTGTTAATCACTGAAAAAAAAATGGAAATGACCAACAGGAGGAAACAAATTTCAATATATTCATTCAACCATTCTATTCAGATAAACCCAAAAACATAATTTTAAGCAAAAAATAAAATGAAATAAAAAAGGTTGCAGAATGATATCTATACCATAAAACCACATAAGACATTTTAAAGCATAGCATGTATTGTAAATAGATATATACATACTTAGTAGCTGTGTGGTAATAAGTATGAAAATGGCAAACACTACATTCAGAACAGTGGTTCCTTCTAAGGCAGGAGGCAAGGTAATGAGATCAGGCAAGGGTGCACAGAAGGCTTTAACTCTATCCAACTATGCTTCACTTTTCAAAAATTAAATTAGACTAGAACAAAAATGGTAAAATGTTTACTATCTCTATAGATCTAGCTAGTAGGTATCTGGAGTTTATTATACTATATTGCACATTTTCTGTATATTTGAAATATATCACAATAAAAAGTAGTTTTCCTAGTCACATAAATAAAAACAAGCAATTTCCCAAAGCAGAGAACAACTGATCCAGAGATACTCAGGAGACGAAGAAGAACATGGATGGTAAGAGTGAAGGAGGTGGTGAAAGGAATAAGATATCTGGGTATGGAATAGACATTCCTCTCTAACTCTCCAAAACCAGGAAGGTGATTTTCCCACCATGCGTTAAGGAAGGAAGTCAACTACATAAGATGTGGAGAGGATAGAAATGATTCATAGTTCATCTAGAAATCAGGTGACTTTACAGAATGTACATTATCCAAAGATATCAGTAAGCATAAAATACTTACTACAACCCCACTCTTGGTGGTAGTTTCTCTGTATGTGAAGTTGCAAATTGCCCAGGCTAAATAATATGTGGACATGAGAGGGGTCTGTGAAAAGTGATCCGTAACCCATCCATCTTCCTCAAACACCGAAGTTTCCACTGGCATATTGGATAGAGATAAATAGGTTGCTTGATGCTTGATGCTGATTTTGAAAGTAGCCTTGTAGATTGGCTCATCAAAACAAGGAAATGCCTTCCTGGCATGTGTAGGTGAAAACTGAGTAACACCAAGGAATCTGGAAAAAAAGAAAATGACATTCTCCATTACATTTATGACTTGACTTAAATTATAACCACTTTACATGCTTCTGCCGACAAATTAATATATTTTTGCCAAATTGCAAGATACTTTCTTTCTGAACCCAACAAATGCACGAATAGCATGAAAGCATAATTCCTATACATTTCCCCAATAGCGAAAATTCTTCAGGGATGTTGTCTCAAGGTAAATTCTCTAAACCTAGAGCAGTGCTTATAAGATAAAACATTAAACTTTACAGAAACACACTCATTGGAATCACATTGGCAAATTCTGGAAAATAACAGTTCCCCTTTTTAGTATGCCTCACTTTCCTCTTGGAAGCCATACAAGTAAAGTCAGTGAAACTAAAATTCAAAAGTTGTCATTAGATACATGTGGGGCATAGACCTTCACTGGGAAATGTCTGTGCCCTCAAATTTCAGTAAGACATGATCTGATTTTGCTAAGAAAAAGGAGTTTGAAACCTGATAAATTGGTTTAATTTCTGGTTTTACAACATTCTTAGCCATATCATCTTGGGTGATTATTGAATTTCCCTAAGGTGTAGGTTTCCATTCCTCAAAAGGAAATAATCAAGCCTAACTCAAAAAGTATTATAAAGCTTAGTTGGGGTGAAAGGATGAAAATACCTACCACGGGGAAGAGATGAATAGCACCCAGCAGCCAGTTAGCAAAAGGCAGCCAGCTAATAAATGACAGCCACTGACTCACAATATCTTCAACCTTCCTTGGAGTGACATAACATTAACAGATGCTTAGACTAAATAATCCAGAGACCACTGGTTTTTACTACTCATAATATATATTTATTATATAAATTATAAATTATATATATTAATATACATTTTTATTAACATAACATCTCATAATAAGTAAACATGTCAATGTGTTTATATGTGTGTGTGTGTATATATATATATAATGCATTCACTGCCCTCAAGTTTTCAGATTAAGCTGCTAAATGGCACTCATTAAAACTCTCAATAGAAGCAGCCTCTATATTCTTTCCCAGTTATGGTTACAAATGCAAACACATATTAAGTCCTTTAAGAAGGATGCTTTTTTAACTCAAAAAAAGGTGGCCTTTATTCATGAAAACAGTCATGATATAATTAAACTTTTTGGGTAATCCTAGTTACAAAACTTGACATAAGGCAAGTCAGTATCAGACCCTTCATACCACATTACTGAGTGCTAAAGTAATTTCTTTAAAAGGCTTTCCTCCCATAAGCACTACTGCCACAGCTGCCCTTTCCATCATCCACAGTATTCATGGTTAATCTAACATGGCACACTTCCCCCACTGAGCCCTACTTGGTCTTGAAATTATTCTCAGCACAGCACTTCAGGCAGCTACGACCAATCAATAGGGGTTAACATGTGTATTGAATCTTATTGGCTATCCTTGGCTCAAACCAGGAGATGTAAATGTTTATATACCATTTTTAAATTATGAAGCTTACATTTATCATTGAGGGCCTACTTTAACAAAGCTTCATTTTAAAATAAAGAAAAACAAGACATTTAAAGATAAATTGTGTATTCACTCACAGAGGGAAGGTTTTTGAATTATCTTGGAAACAGTAGTGGGCTACATAGCAAGCTTGGGTTAAATCACTTAACTGCCTGAGCCTATTTTTTTCATTAGTAGAAGGGAAATAATGTTTTTTCTAGGCCTTCCTTACGAAACTGTCAAGATGATAAAATGAGATAATATATAGGAAAGGAGTTTTAACTATAAATCTTCAGACAAATATAAGGTTAAAGTTGGAAGCAATCTTAGAAACAAATTGTCCCACTGTCATAAATTTCTAAAATGAAAAAGTAGCTCCAGCAGGGTTAAGTGATTTGTCCAAAGTTATACAGGCAATTAGTGCAAAGCTGGGTGTAAAATTCATGTTTTCTGTATCTGAGTAAAAGGTAATTATATTTCATGAACAGTAAAATTAATCTTTAGCCATAGTTTATAAACAACGTTTTAACTTGACTGTTGGTAATAAAGGTTCTTCTTTCCAAATTTGCCAGCATTGTGGTAATATTTTGTCTTATTATTTTCCACTGATAGTAATACAGGTTTGCTTAATGAAGTGTCAATATCTTTTAGTTAAAATGCACCCATTTGCAACTTTCTCTTCAAGTGCTTTTGTCTTACATAATGTTCTTGAATCATAACTTTCAATCTTATTAATTAAAATGTCCACCAAGCTTGATATTCCCCTAGTTAGGTTATTTAAAAGATACCTATGGGATTTCATATAGAGGAAAAGTGCTCCCTTTTAACTTTCAATTATCCAAGAACTCCAATTTCATTGAAGAAATAGATATTGTCTGCTATGTGTGAGCCTCTAGCCTTTCACGGCAAGGTTTTTAGAAGATATAACCATAAGAAATAGTTTGCAATATAACTGAACAGAAAAATACATATATATAAAACAACTAATACTATTAGGGAAAAGTTCTACAAGAGTTCAACAGAGAGGTTGCAGTTAAAATGTCATTGAGTAAAAATCAAAGGTGTCTTTGGCATTAAGTAATTAATGGGTAGGAATTTATTAGATGTAGAAGATCTAAATACCTCTGGGCTAGAGAGAAATTAAAAAACCAAATATTTATGCAGAAGAATCATATTGTGTAGTCTCTTTTTGCCTTACACAGTAAGTAAATGTTAGTAAAGCTAACAATTTAAATCACTGATTCTCAGGGTTGAAGGGAATACAAAGATCACCTAGTAACCTTTCCTGCAATTACTTTTCTTAATGAATTCATATACACAATATGTATTTATGCACAGAGGGCCAACATATATTCTGATAATGTCTAACTGAGGAAATACCAATTTCACAGTCCGGCACCTGAGGATGCCTGCAACTGAATTTCAATTCAGTATTTAGGAATCAAAAAAAGTCCCTTAATAAAGAAGAGCAGTGGACAGATTACATTTTCGGTCTTTTTCAAGCTTGAGATCCTATAACTGAAAAAAAAGATTAGAAATAAAATATTCCCTAAATTTGATGAGGTTTTTTAAGATGTTAATATACATTACTGCTCAACAGCTTTTCACTACAAGCTCTGTAATATATTTGCTCCTCTTTATCATCATTCCTGAGTGTTCAGCACTGAGGAGAAAAAGCTAAAAACAGATGCTTCCTACCCTCAAGGAGTTTATACTCTAATAAAACAAAAAAGTAAACATACACCTAAACAGGTATTAGACAAAAAAAAAAACATGACAAAGTGGGAGAATGTACAAAGACATTGGATTCCTCTAAAGCAGGGTTTCTCATTCCCAGTCCTACTGACATTTTAGGTTGGATGACTAATTATTCCTTTTGGGGGGCTGTTGTGGGCCCTGGGGGAAGTTTAGCAGCATTCCTGGCTTCTGCTATTAATGCCAGACATGACACCTGGCCTGTCACCCTCTCCCCAGTTGAGACAACCAAAATGTCTCCAGGGGGTAAGAGGGTGGGAAGAGGTGAGAGGAGGTGAGAGAGGACAAAAGTGGCCCAGCTGAGAACCACTGGCCTTAAGAACTGAAGGAAGGCTTCATGGAGAAGGATGTGTAAGAGCTGGTCTTGAAGCCTGGGTAATATTTTAAGGGTCAGAGACTGCTAGAGAAGTAAGCAAGTTGACTGTAGCACAGAAATAAACCCTTAATAAAAGCTTTTGACTCACATACTCAGTTAGGGCCCTATCTGCTCTCCTACAGATTCTAGTTTTGTCAGATCTCAGGATGGCCGGTTCATCTCTAATACCGATCCCACCCTGATACTCTTCTTTCTAACAGAGACCTAGTTTCAGTCTCCGTGTCTTCAGCAGGCAACAGTGTCTGCTGGGTTTCAAAAATATAATTTTGTCTGTAGTGCACATTTTTATGATTGCCTTCAGTTTGTGGAAGTGAGCCTATTTTTCTGCTTACTGTCATGAAAATCACCTAAAAGGTCTCTGGAGAAGGTTATTGGGAGTAGGAAATAATAAATTTGGTTTGGAAGTATATTTGAGGTGAGTTTGAGGTGGGAGCAGGACACCAGGTAGAAGAAAGACAAAAACTTAATTAAAAAAGAAAACATTTTAATATATAGTGGATATGAAATACATATGTAAATATAGCAAAAAGTAAAATAAAACCACAGGAGGCAGAAGATAATAGGGACAAGTATTCAGTCTGTTTTCTTCCTGCTTTCTTAAACAAGATCATTTTGATCTTTTTATGAACCCCTCTATTATCATAAAAAATTCCACTTCCAAAGTGACATCCTGGAAGTGTCATTCCAAGAATGTCACTTTAGCATAACTAGAGAAATATGAATAATATACATATATTTTAATTCTCTTCTATCTAAAATAAATTACTTGACTTCTTAACAATGTATCTATTTGACATTTTGGTGGAGCTAAGAAGGAGGGCTTAAAGCTCTGTGCTGCCTCTGAAAGATACAGAGAATTGATTTCTCCCTATTTCTACAGAAGTTCACTAGGCAAGCTACTTGTGTCAAGTCATTATGATAAGATTCAGCAGAAGTAATGCATTAATGTTGGCTTATATTGCCAACAAATTACTGTGTGTGATACAAAACAATTTCTGCTCCATTATATATTTTCAGATTGCCTTTTCATATACTTAAAATATGCAGTGGAAACAAACATTTGCATAACACTGTTAGAATTCAGTTTGATTCATGACTTTTCACTGTGGAGCCCACCAAAACCAAGAGAAACTCACAAATGACATGGTATATTTGAGAGGTTTCCGTTTTGGCCCCAACTAAGCATACCACACACACAACACCGTGAAAAACCATCTTTGAACTTGCTTCTACTGCAATTGCAATGTCAGTAGTTTTGCAATTGTTTCAGATCAGTAATAAAAACTCCCAAGATCTAGAGAAAAGTTCCAATGGATCACCTAGTTTCTGTTGGAACTGTTTGCAGGAAAGGGACTCGGTTACAAGGTCATGGAAGTTACATACATCCCAT